CATCATTCTCTAGGAGAGGGCTGGGGTCCCTGCCTGCACTGCCCAGTCTTGCCTGCCCCTGAGCTCCTGACTGCAGGCCAGCAGGCCAGTCTGGGCTCTGCTGCTGACAGCTGGGTGGGGTTGAGAAAGTTCCTCCCCTCGGGTCTTGGTCTCCCAGCTGTGAGAAACAGGTGGGCTGGGAAAACTGCAGTGACCCTCAGCTTTTGAGCCTCCTGCCTCCCCACGTCAGCCCCTCGCCTAGTGAGAGCAAGGAGCCGGGAGGGGGGGGTGTCTGTCCCTCCACCTGACAGAGACACTGAGTTCTGCTCGGCTCCGTAGCTTCAGTGCTGCTGGGACTGGGAGCCCACCTGATTACAGCCCTGGCGCCCAGTCAGGATAGCAGCTGTCCTGCCAGGGCCTCCCAGGGGAGGCTCACCATAAGTCACTCACACTGGATTTGAGTCTGAAAACCTGTGCCCTGGGAGCCAGCCTCTGTCGGGTAGCTACATGTAGGACCTGGGTCCTGGAAAAGATGGGAGACATTACCTACCGGTTGCCTTTAAATCGCTGTGATATGTTTGTTACCCCTCACCTCAGCCAGGTATATGGAGTCACCTTGGTGAGATGTCTTAGGCTGTCTCCTCTAGCACAGCAAGCCCAGTCGCTGAAGCTTATGTGTGTATCATAAAGAGCGGCTTCTATCAGGAAAGGGCTCACACAGCTGCAGGGGCGCGGGCAAGTCCCACATCTGTCCGAGAGGTGTCGGGCTGGAGGCGGCTCCTAACTCGTCAAGCCGCAGGGACTAAAGAACTGGAGCTGGGCAGCAGGCAGGACGCTGATGACTCCAGGGTGGGCAGGGTTCAGCTTGTCACCCGCAGGACCCAGACTGGGCAACAAGCAGGCCAGCCCTTCACAGCTCCCCCCAGGCCACGGCCTCAAGGAAGCTTTCAGTTCATCGCTTCTCATACAGATACATCAGGGGGTGGTTCCATCATGTCAGATCCTATCTCAGGGATTACCAGCTTCTCATGGCAGATACATCAGGGGGTGGTTCCATCATGTCAGATCCTATCTCAGGGATTACCATGGCTTAACTGCCAGAGCCCAGAGAGCTCTGGCCCTGCCAAGTTGGCATGAACCTTAATTATCACACCAAGTATATGACTGAATTCCCCTTGGCCAGGTTTGTGGGTTTGCTGGCCAGATATGTGGGTGCACCTTGGCCAGTTGTGTGGACATACAGATTGGTGTCTAAATGAACTCATATCAGAAAGCAAACAGGAGGACTCAGACGGCTTCTCCAGAGAACCACGCCCTGTACAGACGTCTCAAGCAGCGAGAAGCAACGGCAGCCGGAACCACAATCCCCTCCCCAAATCCCGCCGCCGCCGCCATCTGGCGGACTCCACAGGACAGAGTCGAACTGCCCCCCAGGCTCTGTGGAAGCTGCAATCTCCACAGAAGCAGGCCACCACGCCATTGTCCCAGGAGCCACTGGGGACCGCAGAGGGCTGAGCTTCTCTTCAGCAGCTGGACCATCAACCGCCACCGCTTCTCTTCTGCAACCACGGGGGGATGGGCTTCGCTTTTAAAGTGCAAAGCTTCTCGAGATAAGGATGTAGTGTCTGGAATAAAAGCACGCTGGATGGCATTGATGGCAGGTCAGCAGCTGCCCCCCGACATGAAGTCAGACGGGGAGAAGTGAAATGTGGGCCCTGCAAAGCCGAGAGTAACCACAGAAAGTGGACAATGGAGACTCAAAGGCGGCCGCCTAACTGTGGGGATAGAGTGGGACGCTAAGAACGCTCCTCCATCCCGAAGCCAGGAAAGGGGAAGAGAAGCAGACAGGTGGGACAGCTTGAGCAGGACCAGCAGGATGGGAGGTTGTGATGTCACCGCGTGCAACACTGCATCGCGGCATATAAGCAGTTAAACACCCTGGCCCAGCAGCAGAGAAGGCGGGGTCGAAATGAAAAGTGAGGCCCAGTTTTCTACTGTCTGTCGCAAACCCACTGCAAACATAGAGAAGCGGATCGCTGTGGAGTATGGGAAGGATTTCTGGCTCGGGACAAGATGGGGTAAGCGGCTCTGCCCTGTCCCTCCAACTGAACGCAGCTCTAAGCCCCGCCTGGGCAGAGAGCCCGGGCAGCTGCCTGAGGACTCTGAGGAGGAAAGAGTGGCAGGTGCATTGGGAGGAAGACAAGATTGGACGGACCACCGAGACATGGTAGGTTCCCCATTTTACCCCTCCTGGGCTGGGAAGGGCTCAGTGCAGCCCCTGAGCTGGGGGTGAGCATCAGCACGGAGCAAGAGCTTCAGGAGAAGCCCCTCAGCAGGCTGGAGCCTTGGATGGCTGAGCTGGGGGTGAGAGGTGCGGGGGCTGTAAAAGGCACAGAAAACACAGTGGCCCTGTGGATCGCTCTCTCTCTCTTGATCCTGGATACAGACAGTCACAGGAAGGAGCAAGTGACCAAGGCACCAAGAGGGCCCTGCAAGGGGACAATGGGAAAGGATCGTGCAGGCTGTGGAGAGGATGGGTCTTGGGACAGCTCCCCGGGATGGGGACATGCGCACCGGTCCTGAACAGTGTGTGGACACGTCACTGAGGCATGGACTGAGGCGTGAACCACCACCAGGTGCCCGCTGGCCGAGGGGTCAGATCTCAGGAGCAGTGCATAGGCTTTGGAAGTGGACCAGACCATTGAAGCCCACGAATGGTGGATCAGAACGTGTGTCCCAACCCCGCAGGTTGACTTCCTGCCCCCAAAAGCCTGCCCATTGGAGGGCACCTAGAGTCTCACAGGCCATCTTCCATGGGCACAAGGCCCTCTCCGTGTCTGTGGAGATAACCGAGATCCTGGACGTAGTGGCTGGCACAAGCTCCAGGGAGAACCCGCCTAAACAAGTGGGCATCACAAACAGAGTGGACACATGGCAGATGGGTGGAGAGCAGAGTGGACATAGTGACTGGAACACGCTCCGGGGGGAGTTGCCTAGACCAGACAGCGTGACAGAAAGGCTCGTTCAGCAGAGGGCGATCCAATAGATCGTGTGGCAATGAACATCGCAGATGGAGAACAGACCGGTGACAGGTGGGGTAGAGAGAGGAATGGCCGGCATGGAGGACAGAGGCTAGGTCCAGAGGGCTGACCCAATCCAGACAATAGTGCCAACGCATTGGAGAGAGCAGCAGAGGCTCAGAGACCGGAGGGACGAGCTCCAAGGGTCTAGGGGGTGTCCATCAGAGTCCCAGGACTACAGAGAGGACCAGAAGGCGGGAAAGCCCATGTGACACTGGCAAAGAGATGGGAACCCAGATGTTTGAGGGGCATCAAGCAGTCTGTGGAGAGACAGCTCCATCCTCAGCGGTGCTGGGCAGCTAGGCACCCTTATGCAGGGTGAACGGAAACTCCAGGCTCACACCTTGAGCCAAGGTGCATGCAGAGCGTGTCACGAATGACTCAGGCTAAGTGTCATCAGACAAGACACCAAACCATGACCCAGAAAAAGGAAGAGAAAAACAATCAGAAAATTGGAACGTCATTCATGAAAGGGATTTTTTAAAACTCTTATCAAAATGTAAAACTTCACCCAAAATCTAAAATCAATCCAAAAAAGTTTAAACACCCATCAGAATGAGAAGGGCTGTCTGTGAAAATCGTGATTAGGAGGCTGGAACGATGCAGATGAGGAGAATTGCTTTCAACACACAGGCCCAGCAAGCACTTGCCTGTAGGCTGCAAAGACCTCTCAAATCTTGGCAGAAAACAGACAACAGACTTGACCAGAAGCCCCCAGAGAGGATGGAGGGAAGGAAACCAGTGTCTCTGTCCAGACATCCCCGAGAGTGGGATGCCACAGAGCAGAAGTGCTCACCCCAAGCCCTGCAGGCAAGGGTACAGAGCACCCGCAACACACAGACTGCTGGTGAGCTGGCCTTTCTCGGCGACATCAAACACACCCCGCCACCCAGCTCAGCTCTGAGGTATGAGCCCTAAAGAAAACTGTAGTCGCTCACACAAAACAAACCCCTGCCTAAATGTCTACAGTCGGCAAGTCACAGCCACCAAACCCTGGAAGCCGCCGAGGCACCCTTCATGGGCGAATCCATACCACAGGCTCGACTGGACTGGTCGAGCTGGTAACCCCCAGCCCCGCCCGGGTGGGTCGCCAGTGCATTGCACGGAGTGAGGAAAGCCCGTCTCAAAAGAGGACCTGCTGTGTGGCACCGTGATCACGGTGCTCTTGCAAAGGTCAAACTAGACCAAAGGTTGGCAGGTACTGAGGGCAGGGGGAGAGCGTGTGGCTCTGGACGTCTTTGGGGTGGTGGGACTGACTGTGTTCGGCTACACACATCTCTGCAAGGGTTAGCATGTGTGGCGCTGTACACCAAACAAGAGTCCGCTTGTATGTTAATTAAAACGTGTAGGCAGTTGAAAGAAGGCTGAGTGACGGTATTAATATCAGACAAATTAGACCTTAGGCTACGGAATATGACCAGAGAAAGGCCTCCCATGATGATAAGGGGACCAGTTCATCAAGAAGACATTACACTGCTAAGCACACTCCTGCCTCTTCACGGATCCTCGAACGCACAGCCAAATCTGACACCCCTGCCAGGAGAAGTGGAGCCCCAGCCACGGGGGGAGGGCAGTTGGTGGGGGCAGGGTTAAACTCTGTTCTCAGTAACTCACAGAGCACTGGGCAGCAGCAGATGTGGCCCGTTCTCTGGAAAGAGAGAGCTGGGCCTGACAGCATTTTGGCATACACACACCCAAGTGCTCGGGGCTCATTCAACCTGACATATCTAACTGTGCCCCCCAGAAAAAGTAAACTGGAGACAGGCAGTGGAGGGTTATTGGAAACCCCAAATGTTGTACCCATCTGGATGTTTGTGGCGATCCCTGGCTTCCAGAAGCTCCTCTGTGGCACTCCATGGCCCCCCTTTTGGTCCTGCTGCTCTGTTCCAGGGGAGTCTGGGGTTGGGGCAGCTGTCAGGACCTCAGCAAAGGCCCTGCCCTGTTGGGGCGCTGGGCGAGAAGCCAGCTTGTCCAGGCCTGAGGGCCCCACCCTCCTCTCCGGCTCTCTGCCTGGACGAGGGTGACCATGCCCACTGTCTTTCTTGCAGAAATTCATCCGGAGCCCAACGCCTGTCTCTCAGCCCCCTGCCAGAATGGCGGCACCTGTGTGGACGCTGACCAGGGCTATGTGTGCGAGTGCCCCGGGGGCTTTGTGGGCCTCAACTGTGGGGAGAGTGCGTGGGCATGGGATTTGGGGGGCTGGGAGGCTGCCGGAGGTGGTGCGTGGGGACCCAGGGCCCCTCTGCAGGCAACAGACTCGACAAAGCTCAGGAAAGCAAATGGGTGTGCATGCTATGAGTGCATATGTGTGAATGTGTGTGAGCAGCCGTGATGGTGTGTAAATGTGAATGTGTGTGAGTGCGAGTGTCGGTGGATGCAACACCCTTGATGCTGTGTACCTGTGTGATTTGTGTGCCTGTGGATGAGTGTGAGTGTAATTGTGTGAGTGTGTGTGAGTGAGGGTATGAAAGTGGGTGAATGAGTGTGATGTTTGTGTGATATGTGAGTGTGAATGAGTGTATGAATGAATGCAAACATGAATGTGTGGATGTTTGAGTGTGAATGTGTTTGAGTGTGTGGATGTTTATGTGGATGTGTGTGAGTGAGTGGATATATGTATGAGTGTCATAGTTTGTGGATATGTGCTTATATGTGTATATATGTGCGTGTTGTGAATATTACTGCATGTGAATGAGTATGAGCATATGTGGATGTTTGTGAATGAGTGGGTGTGTGGATGTCTGAATATGAGAGTGTGTGTGTGTGTGTGTGTGTGTAGGGGTTATTGGGCAGTGGGCAGCAGCAGGGCGGGTGACCTCAGCGCACAGAACACCCCCCACCCCGTGGCAGGAATCTCTGATGACTGTGAGTGCCGGAATGGAGGCAGCTGCTCTGGAGCCAATACCACCTTCTGCCATTGTCCCCCGGGCTTTTTTGGGCTCCTCTGTGAATTTGGTAAGTGGCAGGACTAGAGGGAGGCACCTTCCTACCCTGTCCCCTAGTGGTCCTGTCACTGGGCACCAGTAGGGCTGGCCAGTGAGTGAATGGGGCTTGGGCCAGGGACCACCCCACTGGAGGAGGGCTTCACCCCTTGGGCCCTGGGACACGAGGTCCCCAGAAAGACACACGGGTGTGGGGTGGGGTGGGCTCTTCCTCCACAGAAGTGACGGCCACACCCTGCAACATGAACACGCAGTGCCCCGACGGGGGCTACTGCATGGAATACGGCGGGAGCTACCTGTGTGTCTGCCACACGGACCACAACACCAGCCACTGTGAGTGGAGCAGGCGGCAGGATTGGGGGCACTGGCAGCAGTGATAGCCTCTCCCAGGCCATCCCCACGCTGTCACCTGCTTATGGAGAAGCATGGTAGAAAGGAAGATGGGGTGGGGGAGCTCCGAGCCCCTACAGAAGCTACCAGTCACTAGCAGGCACAAATAGCAGTGAAGGTGCACCCTGATGTAGGATTACCACCCCATCCATGTACGACAACACGGAAACCCACCCAGTCCTGCGCCAGCGTCACCCTGTGGTTGTGCCATGCCCAGTGGGCAGCATGCTGCCACCCCCCTCCTTGAGGAGCTTCCTCCTTGTTCCCAACCCTCTACCACGCATGCTGTGCTTCTTCGGGGGTGGGTTCTTCCTGGTAGTGTCCATGCGGGATGCCCACATGCAGCCAGTGGAGGCCCATGTGTGGCTATGACGCTGATCAGGGACCAGCAGAGCCTCCGGGCTAAGACTAGGGAGAGAGGCCTGGCTATTTTGGGAAAGGCCTGTGTAAGACAGTGACCCAAACCCGCTGGTCCTGAGACCACCCGAGTTGGGCCAGCAGTCATGACCGTGCTGGTGTTTGTTAGAGGTCCCTGCCCGCACAGGGTGTAATCACAGGTGGTCATTGGTGATGGTGGTGACAGGACGTGGGGAGAGGGAGGGTGACTCCCACCAAAATCAACCACAGGGAGGTCCCAGTGTGAGGATACAGGGGGCCCACAGTGCAAGAAGGTGGCCTGGGTCCCTCACAGGATGATAAGGTGGGCCTGGCAGCCGTGCTGGCCAGGACCTGCCAAGGTGCTCCCAGGCCATCCTCTGACCTCCACTCCCCCAGCCCTGCCATCGCCCTGTGACTCGGACCCCTGCTTCAACGGAGGCTCCTGTGACGCTCACGACGACTCCTACACGTGCGAGTGTCCGCGCGGCTTCCACGGCCAGCAGTGTGAGAAAGGTAGGGGCCAGCGCTCAGCACCCTGGAGAGCGGCCGCGGTCCGCGCACTTCCCACCAGCAGCCCCGCTCCGCCCACCGGGTGCTGCTCTCTCTGACAGTACCGTGGCTGAAGGATCGTTCTGGGTCCCGGGCCGGGTGCTCCCATTCGATGTGGTCATTACGTTCCACTCCCTTTCTGATACGGGGTCCTCGCCCCACATGGCTCCGCTGACCTCGGGCGGTGGTCCCGGCTCTTGGTGACCGGCTGTGGGGCAGGGCCTGGCCCTGAGCGCTCACCCGCCGGGGCACGGCCCTGCTCAGCCGCCCTGCGCCCCCGCCCCCCACAGTGCGGCCGCGCCCGTGCAGCTCTGGGCCCTGCCGGAACGGGGGCTCGTGCAAGGAGGCGGACGGCCAGTACCGCTGCAGCTGCCCCTACCGCTTCACCGGGAGGCACTGCGAGGTCGGTGAGTGACCGTGGGCGGGGCAGTTCAGGGGCAGCGGGCTCGGCGATGCGCTGGGCGGCCCTGACTCGCTCGCTCCGCCCCAGGGAAGCCGGACTCGTGCGCCTCGGCCCCTTGCCACAACGGCGGCACCTGCTTCCACTACATCGGCAAGTACAAGTGCGACTGCCCGTCCGGCTTCTCTGGGCGCCACTGTGAGACGGGTGAGGCGTGGCAGGGCGGCCGGGGAGGGCCCGGTGGGCCTGGCAGAACACTGACCCTCCGCGACCCACAGCCCCCTCCCCCTGCTTCCGGAGCCCGTGTTTGAACGGGGCCACTTGCGAGGACCTGGGCACGGACTTCTCCTGCCACTGCCGAGCAGGGTTCACCGGACGCAGGTGCCAGGCAGGTGAGGGCCAAGCGTATGCCGCCCACTTTCTTGGAGGGGGCGGGGCCTAGTGCATGCCGCTCCTCCCTCAAAGGGGCGGGGCCAGTTGGAGAGACAGGAAGGTGGCTGGGGCATCCAGTGCCCAAAGTCAGGGCACCTTGGGAGATTCACAAAGCCCCAGAGCAGGGCCGTGGGGTGGGGGTGGGGGTCCACAGCAGGCAGGATGCACCTCTACCAGCAAAGTCCGGTGACAGGCAGCAAGGTGGGGGGCAGGGGCAGGCTGGCAAGCAACCCGCATCTCGCACTTGCCCTAACTAAGGCTCGCTTTCCTCGGGCGCAACTCCTGCAGAAGTGGACGAGTGCCGCTCACAGCCCTGCCTGCACGGAGGCTCCTGCCAGGACCGGGTCTCGGGCTACCTGTGCCTCTGCAGCGCGGGCTATGAAGGTGCCCACTGCGAGCAGGGTGAGTCCCGGGACCGGTGGCCACGGCGGTCGTGAGGTGCGAGGCGCCCTCGGCTGGTCTGCCCCTCTGCGGAGGCAGTGGGGTGACAGGCCTGCATGTCTTTCCCAGAGACTGATGAATGCGCAGAGCAGCCCTGTCAGAACGGGGGCTCCTGCAGGGACCTCCCAGGGGCCTTCCTCTGTCAGTGCCCCCCAGGGTTCATCGGGGTCCGCTGTGAGACAGGTAAGGGCTGCCACCCCATCCCCTCCCACCTCGGGACACCCCAACACCCCAACCTCCCGAGCATGTTTCAGCACGCACTGAGCCTGGGCCTCAGAGGAGACGGGATCACGTCCAACTGGGCAGGCTGCTTGGAAATGGGCCACTGGATAGCTTGGAGGGAGGGAAGCAGGCTGCATGGCCCCTCTGAGCCCCAAGAGTACCCCCAGGTTGCCCTAGCCCCACCTTTCCCCTCCGGGTGTCCCCAGCCCCACCCTCAAGGACTCCCCTGGTCCCACCACCCAGAAGCTCCCCAACCCCATCCTCTGGGGTGTCCCCAGCTCCACACCCTGGGATGTCTCTGCCCTCAGCCCCACCCTCAAGGACACCCCCAGCCCCATCCTCTGGGGTGCCCCCAGCCCCACCCGCCATCCTCTTCCTCCCTCCTCTCCCTTCTTCCCGCTCTCCTCTCCTCCCTCCCCCAGACCCCCTGCGGCTCCTCACCCCTGCAAGGCGCTGACGCCGCAGCTCTCTGCGTGTTCTCCAGAGGTGGACGCCTGCGACTCCAGCCCCTGCCGCCACGGGGGCGCCTGTGAGAACGCGGGCGGGGCCTATCTGTGCGTCTGCCCTGAGGGCTTCTTCGGCTACCACTGTGAGACAGGTAGGGAGGTAGAGCTGCCCGCTGTCAGTCCAGACCCTCAACTGGGGTCCTGTGAGTGTCCCTCCCCCGCAGGCTGGGCAGGAGCTGGGTGCCCCTCCCCGGGCTGGGCTGATGCCCCACAGCGGCAGTGCTCAGGCCTGAACTGGTCCATGAGCACGGTGTGGGCGTGGGTGCAGGTCACAGATAACTCCATCGTGTGTTCAGAGCCTGCGCACCTTGAGACAGGGTGTGGGAGGAGGGGCTGCTGTGTGCGGGGATGAGGCCATGCAACCACTCTGGGTAGGGGCCCTGCGCAGTCTCACTACAGTCACCCTGGCCAGAGGCAGGGAACCCACTGCAAGGCGGGGGCGGGGCAGGCCGCGGGGGCAACTACTCCCTGTTTCTGCCCCAGCAACCTAAGGGGATGGAGGGGGGTGAGTCTGGTCCTGGAGGCCTCACTGCCCCTGCCCACTGTGTCCCCAGAGCCTGACCTGCCCCTCCATCAGGCGGCCTACGCAGCACCCCTGGAGGAGCGTGCTGAGAGCCCGCCCCACTACCGAGCGAGTGCTAGCGTCTTGGCCTCCTAGGAGACCCCTGGCCCCCTGTAGCCCATCACTCTAGCAGGCCCTGCGCCCTGCCCTCGGGGTGAGCGATCTAGCCCAGGACCCTAAGAGCAGGAAAATCCAGTGCCCCTGGGATTTCCGCTCCCCACACCCAGCGCCCATACTGCCTCCTTCCCATGCAGTGAGCGACCCCTGCTTCTCCAGCCCCTGTGGGGGCCGCGGTTACTGCCTAGCCAGCAATGGGTCCCACAGCTGCACCTGCAAAGTGGGTTACACGGGCCAGAACTGTGCCAAAGGTGAGGCTTCACTGGCCCCCGGGATGATGTTCCCACAAGCCCCTCCCTCCACTGGGCAGGGAGGGTGGGTAAGCGCCACGGTGTTAGCACTTCCAGGGCCGCAGGTGACCCTTCCTCCTCTGGCCTGAGCGCCAGCGAACAGTGAGAG